GTAGTAATTTTTGAGTGCATACTTACTTGCCTACAAAGTACAGTCTTCCATATTTAACTAAAACACTTATAATTGCATTTCTTGCACTTTTTAAAAATATCTGCTTTTAATCTTCTTTCGTGTTTTTTTCTCAATTCGTTATTTATGCATTTACCTTAGTTTCCCATTCAAAAAATTTTACATATCTAGTTTGCTTTTTATTGTAATACACTGATGCTCTTTAACTTTATTGTGTTCTGCAATATATTTAGTAACTTTTTTTGCGAATAATAAATTTCCACTTTCTAGCTATTTGTTATCTATTATTTTTTAACTTATTAGCAGTGTTATTGCAAATAATTTGTTTATACACTTAATTGTATTTTAATTTGTATCGTATTCTATTGATTGGGCATTTACTTAATAAATGGCACTCAAGGAAAACACAATTTATATTTCTCAAGGAAAGTACAATTTTTATATCTCTCAAGGAAAACACAATTTATATTTCTCAAGGAAAGTACAATTTATATAAAAGGATAGCAAAATGCATGGTGTTTCTATTTGCTAAGCCTAATTTTTAAAGTTCAAATATTTAATTAATAAAAAATATCAGGTAATATTTGAATAATAAAAAATAAAATTGGGGAAGGCGCAGTTTGAACACAACGAATGTGGTTTCGACCTTGTTCTTATTCGATTAGCGATTCTCTTTAGCCTAGTACGTTAGGCTAATTGTTATATTTATAACCCTTAAAATGTAGGGCGATCTTACACTCAGCTGACGATTAGTATGTTACCCACAATAAAATAAATTCTGGTTACGAACTGACCATTGGCAGCATTATTCACAATTTTAATAAACAAAGAAAGTGAGAAGCGAACTTGATGTAGACGTCGTGTCAGGAGGAGACACGTACCTATAATTGAAAGATTAGCTTCAAGTCATTATTCTACTGAACCAATCACCATCAGCGCCCAGACTGTTGAAAAACCATGAACCCAAGTGCTTGAATCACTTCGTCTGTACTTGTTGGGTTTTGTCACCGTTGAAGCATTGGTGCTATAGCAGTGTCCTGTGATGATTTCGGTTAGGACTCTTACTGCATGTCTATGGAGTTTCAGTACGTCCTTTGTCTTTTTCCTGCTAAGCCGCAGCCATAATAATCTTATGGTCTCAAAGTCTTCCCGTTTGTTCCAGAATTCATTCGTCGCGGCCACGGTGTATTCACAAATTTTCCTAACGTTATCACTAAACGCTGGTAGTACGGAGCTATCCGCTTCTTCTATTGGCATCATTGAGCTGTATCTGGCCGTCTCATCAGCCGACTCCTTCCCTTCAATATACATTCATACGGCTCAGTGACGCCAGCGTGGTGCGATATTTCCATACAATTCGCGATTTTACTATTGCCTTCAGTGCCGCCTGACTGTCGACAAAAATAGTGCCTTTGTCTTCTAGAACTCTACTGCTAAATAAAAGACTAGGCGCCCTCTCTATAGTGTAGATCTCCGCTTGGGTGACGCAAGGACCGGTTGATCTTTAAGTCTATCGAGTAGACACCGGCTCCAGTTCCTTTTTCCATCTTTGAACCGTCAGTGGAGATGGATATATCCCCCTCTGGTACTGGCAGTCCTGCATCCCATTCGCTGGTCGGGAACCAAGGAGAGATAAATGGAAGGACTAAACATCCTCGGTGGCGAAGCGATGGAACTTGCCATATTTACTCATGGAGAAAGTATTTTCCTGGGAACCACTGGACCCGACGTGTCAGTCAACACCTCTGCAAACTCTCGCCCGTCAATTCCATTAGCGGACTTAACTCCTTGCTAAATTTGACCCCAGCATGCCCCAAAACATGTTCAACTTTTGGGGTACCCGCGCACAGCAACAACCACTGGGTCCTACCCCGCCAAAACATCACTTTTTAGCGTATACCTTTAGTTAAGCTTAAAGACAACGACCTGCCAATTAGACAGGGATATGTGCCGATACAACAACAACTAGGTAGCTACAAATATACGCGCTTATAATCTCGTCCATCTTTGCTAACTTTTTTTTCATAGTTTTCATCAATTTTTTCGAGCAGGGATGATCTCAAGCGAGCGGAGAAATGGCGAATCAAAAGCGACTATTTAGTAGCATGAGGTTAAATTTAGCGACAGCTTACTGTAATGTGTTGCTTGCGTGCTGCTTAATTTTTGCATATTTTTAGGCTCTACGGTCGAAAACTTCCACATTTTCATCTCACTAAAGAAAATGCCACGAAATACGCATGCCGTAGAAAATCTGTACGGCATCGAACTTTCAGCCTGTGCCTTTGAGCATTAGCATCAATTAATCGAATAAACCTATTTTTGCATAATGGTCCCAACCCAAATTGTGCTCACCCTGCGCTTTTCGCGAATTTCAAAATAATTTCTTTGTATTTTTTACATTTTTCTTTTTCCTTTTTTAGCTGTACGCAAATACTGGTACCAGAACTCGGGTGCCTTTAGAATTACATAAATACATTTTTATTATACATACGTATATTTTATTATAATAAGTGTTTACAAAAAGAATTGTAAAAATAAAAATATCTAAAAATTTAAAAAAAAAAACTCGTATGCACATAAACGCACAATTGATTTTCATATTTGTGGCGGAGTTACACTTGTATGTATAAACCAGAATTTACTGCTTTATTTTATAAAACTGAGTATAGTAATATGTATGTCTGTGTTGTTTACGCTTTTTAAAATTTTATATTATATATTTTCTTCTTCTGTGTTACTGTTACTAAGTATTCAGTCTAAAAAATGCGTGTTTTCTCTGTTTCCCCTTGTTTTTGCATTAGATTTTATTTATTTAAATTTAGGTAGGTATTTATTTTTTGTTGTTCTTGCTTCGTTAATTACCATTTTATTGGCCTTGCACATACAGTGATTTCTTTTAAATATTCGTAATATTTTTTCGAGCTAAATATATAAAAAAAAAAGCGCAAAAACAGTATAAAAAAAATTCTTGGGCAGCAAATAATAAAAATAATTTACCTCGAAATACATTACGAATATTAAAAAAAAAAATCAACACGTGGTCATTTGTTTGAGTCAATGTATGTACATACATATGTAGGTACATATGTGCTTGTGTATTTCTTAAGTTGCGTTTAAATTTAATAGTGTGAAAAACATTGATAATTTGTAATTTCACAATAAACCGCATACATAATTTTATTTTACTCTGTTTTTTCGATATTGACGCTTTTCTTGTAATGCGATGTTTACCTTTTGTTTACAAACTTCAATAGTTCTTAAAATTGTGGGCGTATGTGTGCATTCTATTCTCTCAAAATACACATATTTACATACGTTCATCCATACTTTAAATGCAAGAAGCGGATTAGAAGAAATTTTTAGTTATTTAATAGCAGTTACTTTTCTTCCTTTGATCAACAAGTGTTTTATCTTTCAATAAGTCGAGCGCCTAAAAATACACACCGGCTGTGTAACAAAGCAAAATCCAAACATGAATTTTCATCTACATCTATTTGGATTTGTGCAAAGATACCCAATAGGCTTGGAGGCTCAAAACTCCCGTTCCACATGATTTTTCACTCCAATAAGTACAAGGTTTTTAAAGCTGAAATGGCGACTTCGTTAGCAGATAATTTTGCCACCTTATCAGAAGTAAGTTTTTCATAGCAAAAATGAAACTGACAAAAATCAAGTAATTTTTAAGCAAAAAACAAAACCGAACTCAATTCTTATATAAAAATTTAAGATTATCGTTAATTTCTTTATAATCCAATGATCGGATTTAAACCAAATTAGTATGGGACCCTTAAAAAAAGAATTAGGAAAGGGAGTTATTCGAAAGTTCTTAGGTCTAAATTTCACCAGTATTGAAGTCACGACAAAGAGCGGGCTCTAAATCGCTGTACACTAGTACAGTACTAGTACTAGTATTTATTATTACAGTCTTATTAGTTAAAGACTACACTTCCTATCGTATATTTCATTCTCAAAAATTAAATATTGAAACAAGTTTTATTCAATCCCAAATATGTAATTAGTTCAGGCTCTGTCCAGCAAATATCGCGTTCAGCATCTAAAAATTTTTAGCCTTGCCCTCTATTGAAAGATGATTTGCTTTATTTTCCAACCGATTTCTGAACTTCAATCTTAATGCAAATCAAAATTAAATGTGTAGATCATTTTCTTTCGAAATTCAAAGGTCGGTATATGTAAATGGAAGTTGAATTGCCATAGTTCAGAAACTCATTTCGAAAGTTCCATCTGCTAAGTAAGGCGCATTTCGGTTTCGGTTTTTAAATGCCCGAATTTTTCCAGCACATATTTACCGGTCCAGATTTTCTCTTGGCGGCCCTGTTCCCCACGAACCCGCATCGAATTCAGTAATTATAGAAAGAGTATTCTTTCTCATGAATGCCCAGAACGTATGGAATGCAAAAATCCATATTTCGACAGCCGATTACTTTTTTTACAATTACAATTCAAGATAGCAATGCGATCTGCCGAAGAAAATTGCCGAGTTTTTTCCACAATCCAATCAGAGTTGGGTGTAGTGCCCTAAAGCTTCATTTTACACTAGTAGCTAGTGATAGTGCACAATTTTTCACTACTACTTTTGATGTTTAGTGGTGAATCAGCCTCACTATTGTGATAGTGAAATAAAAAAAAAAGTAACAATCGAATACTGAAACAAAATTTTCTTTTGTCGCATGCAATGATAGCCAAATGACGCATAGAGTAAGTTAAAATTCAAATGGATGCAATTATAGAACTTAGGGTCTTCTTAAAAATTAACCTTTGTGTTTCTTCCAAACACAACATTCAATTTCATTAATACACTCGTATACACACATTCTTACATACATACATACTTACATGCGTAATTACTGATGAAAGCCCAAAACGTAAGTTATCTCATACTTATTTCCATGCATTAAATTCCATTTCTTCTGATGTTTTCTTAACATTTTCCCTTTACTAAAGTGATAGTTAAAGATGCTCAATTCAATATTTATGAGTTAAAACTTTCATTTTGTCTCCAGTTTTATTCAAAGTATGTATGTCAAAATTGGGTTTTATAAACGTTTCAGCATTGCAAATATATGCAACCCGTTTTTGTTTGTTGTTTTTTTTTTGTAAGTGCGAAATAAACATAGCCCATATAATAATTTGTGTAGGAACTTAAAACAGAAAAACAAATAATAATAAATTAAAGATAAAATTAGTATAAAGCGTGTATTTTAAATGATAAGTTTTGTTCAATGCATAAATAACATAGTACATACGTACATAATATTGCGAAATTAAGCAGCTGATATACATACATACAACAAATTTGATGACCATTTGTAAATTTTGTTTTTTAAAAAACGAAAAAATTGCCACAAAGCGCGGCTTTTCTTATTATTATTACTTTTTAACTTTTTAGCAATTTTGTTGTCCCCTCTTTGCTTTGTATAACTCTGTAAATTTTGTGCCAATATGGAAGTGAGTATGTGTGCGTGTGAATAAGTGCGTATTCGTAGTGTTCTTATGTGGTGTGTTTCCTTTTTTTAAGATTTCCGCTGAATTTTCCGCAAGCCAGTTTGTTTCATGTCGCCGTCTTTAACTTAAATGAGCTGAGCTTTCAATCTACATAATCTACATTGTTTAATTAACTTCCTTGTCATCCCCCTTCGTCGCCTAATTGCTACTGCTGCAACTATTTCGGGCAGCAGCAGCTTCCTGCGTTTCGCCCCCACCATTTTCCACTTCCTCTTGTCAACTTGGTAGTCATCGCCATCCTCGTCGTCGTCTAGCTCTTCTTACTCTAAATGCTTGTGGCATTTATTACTATTTAGCATGTCCATTGCTCAGCACAGCCGGTAAGACATTTGCCTGCTGCACCACGGCATTAATAACCTCGATTTCTTTCTTCAAGAAGGCGCCACTCTCTTCAACACCATTAACTAGCTTGTCAATTGTCTCGTTGCCACTACTACCACCTGCTGTCGTCACAGCCGCAGCAATGCCAACACGCTTACGCAGGCCATCTTGGTGTGTTATGTGCGGTCGAGTATGGAAACCATGATTGCGCATCAAATCTTTCTTCAGCTCGACGATGCCGCTCACCGTTTCTGCTACAGTCTTATCAATAAATTCTTCAATATTCTTTGTCTCTGTACCGATTTTCTCCTTAAGCTTATTACCCAATTGATCCATTTCACACTCTTCATGCTTGACACTGACCGCTTCGCGTGCACACGCTACACTTGACAGCAATGCTGGTGGCGGTGGCAAACTTTTAGTCGTTTTGATCGCTGGAGCGTTGAGGTTATCATCGTCACTATCATCATCGTTGAGATCATTTTCATTGCCTTGAGGTATTTTTCCGGTGATGTCGCTAATAACGCCCGCTGCAGCTTCGGCGCCCGCCGGCAATGTGACGGTGCTAGAGTGGTTGGACTTGAATTTTTCATCACTTGGTTGTTGTATTGTTGTGGAGGCGCGTCGCTCCCCGCGTATGAATTTAGGTAAAATAAAAGTGGTAATTAGTGCGGCTATGTGAAGGCACAAATAAAATTTCAGGTACAATCTAATGCTGCCCTGTAAAAGAGAAAAGGAGAGAAAATTATTAGAACCTATCTAATCTATGTATGTTAGTGGATAAGCAGAATATGAACTTATATATTACTATGAGTTTATTTGGATATATTGGTATAAACTACTTATAAAAATTGTGTCGGGAATTTCTTTAGAACTCATAAGATTAGTGCAATACATAATTCAAACGCATTTCATTTAAAAAATTTGTACAAATTTTTTGGTCATGATTGGGACAAAGCCCAGCCATTTTCCGATCACACTATTGGAGATCAATTTACGCCAAATGTTTGGCAAATGCCCAATCATAAGATCCGGCCTGCACTGTTATTATTTGATATGCACGATTATAATTTATTTCATCTTACAAACTTACCATGAATTCAAGCAGAACAAATGGGAATGTTGCATAACTCATCACTAGGCGTGTAGTCAGGCATGTCAGTATGTCATAAAACATACGTGTAAACTGGGTGCGCTGGAAGCGATGGCGGAACATGCGGCGAGCCTGTGAAAAAATAAGACACAAATTTTTCGTATATTTCAGAGTGGAATAGAGTCAAAACAAGATGCTTACCATGCGCGCGGCGGTGACCATCATTGCGCCGGTGGCAAATGTCACATAGTAACCAGGATAGAAACCGTGCCAAACAGCGCTCAGGGCGAATGTCAATACAGTGCCATACTGTTGCGGCACACGTTCATAGACAATGGTGCGCAGCCAGCGATTTGTGCCACAGTTCCAATTGCTAATTGCATCGCGCATATTTGTGGCAAACTGCAGAGCAAAAAGTAAAAAACAAACAGGAAGTGGGAGTTCAGAAAATTGCAAAGAAACAAATCATCCAATACACAGTTACCTCAAAGCCCAGCACACTAATATTTGATATCAAATCCCATTTGGAGTTGCCATCCTTGTCGTAGCCGGTAAAGCCCAGACCTGAATTATTGCATATGGCATCGGCCAGTAGCCATGCATGATAATATTTAAAGCGTATGCACGATGTCGCCATCATGGCATACCAAAATTTATATGCCATTGAGGTGTTCTCCACAAAATCGTCCTCTTTCATATTCTTAATGGGATACATTTTCACGAATTTCATAAATATGAAGGCGCACACCATGCTGCCGATGACTTTCTTGATGACCGCTTTTGTGGGCGAAGGCTCCAGTACCAGCTCTGTTTTGCCATTATCTAAATTGCCCTGTGCAAAAACAAAGAAAAAAAAGAAGTGAAATGGTAACGTTATTATGTAATGTGTAACATACATACTGCATATATGTATTTATGTATGGAGGCTACATAGAAGTGTACATATGTATGTACATATAACCGCACATCTAAGGACACATAAGGGCGCGAACAGAGTGGCCGCTTGTTGCCGAGCCGAGCCGACTGACGCTTATTGCGAGAACCAATGCGAGAAAACTGGTACTATACAAATTAGTACAAATAAGCGCGAACAGGTCATAGTGGGCGCCGAGCTGGTCAGAGCGCAAAGCTGATTGAATGCGAGAAAACAGTTCCAAAGCGTATTTCAGCGCCGGAAACATTGTTTATGTTATGTTGTTATGATTTCAACTTGTTTGGAAAACATAAAAAAAAATTAAAAACAAAAATTTAAGAAAAAGTTAATAAAACATGCAATCAAAAAATTAAAAAAATAATAAAATTTAAAAATAAAATAAAAATTAAAAAATAAAATAAAAATTAAACAAAAAAATAAAAATTCAAATAAATAATAAAAATTAAATAAAATTATAACAATAGTAAAAAAATTAAAAAAAAACATAAACAAAATTTAAAAAAAAATGTAATAAAAGAAGTAAATAAAATATACATATAAAAAATTAAAAAACATAATAAAAATAAAATAAAAATTATAAAAAAAAATTTTCGATTAATATAAAATACATAAGAAAAACCTAATAAATAAATTATTGTTATTAAAAAATCTTTTTTATTTATTTTTTTATTTATTTATTTTAAATCACTATATAAGTGATGAAATTCTCCAAATTCACTTCGTTTATCATTTATTGGATGTTTTCCAAATGATTTTTTATTGATAAAATACTTTAAAACAGTAGCCGAAGCTAAATACTCATCATCTGACGAATCCATATCTTTTCACTTCAATTTCACAAACACGAATGAACAACAAACCCAAATGCATACAAACATACATAAAACACAAATAATAGATAAAATATCAGCGCTGATTCTCGCATCCACTATGCACACTCAAACTTGTTTCTCGCATGAACAAGTTCTCGCAATAAGCGTCAGTCGGCTCGGCTCGGCAACAAGCGGCCACTCTGCTCGCGCCCTAAGGCTTAAGCGCGACAGTGGAAACAATTCAATTGGCGGTGAAACCGAAGTTTTGCTTTGAGGTGAAAGTGCGCTAGGATATGCTCTCGAGAGAGGGCAATGAAAAGGCAACATGTTTTTTTGTAGAAACGAAAATGCCATTCATGGGCGTACGCAGGTACGGAAAGGTTCGAAGGTTTCATTGAAAGTTTCTTTCTCTGAATTCATAATCAATTTCCAATTCAAAAAATTTGTGCAATAAATTAAAACTTTGGGTGTCTTCACACCCATTTCGGTAGTTTTGGTAAACTTTTGTTAGTCTGATAAACAGTCACTAATGTACTTAAAAAAGAGGTAAAATAATTATTATCTTCCCACGTTCGAATCTCGTTAGACCTCAAATATAATTTTTACTTTTTGTTATTAGTTTTTTTTTTTTTGATTACGAAAAAGCATCTGTGAAGTGCAACGCATAAGTTACGCATAAAAAAATGAGCCCTTCTATGAGCTTTTCCCCCGAAAGCGGAAACGCAATGCCTTGCAATTGGGCCCGTTTCATATAACAAATAACACAGGCCAACAAAAATGAAAAAAAATTTTTTTTTGGTGCGGCATATGTTAAAGCTGTTTTTGATAAACTTTTTTGTGCTGATTACGATCAGCATCAGTTTTTGCTGTTCAACAAATGACTATAAATGGCCATCAAGTCAAGGTGCAGGGATGGTTTTTTGCAGAGACAGTAGCCTAAGATTCTAACTTTAAGTTAAGCTTAAGTGGAAAGTTCGATCACTTTTTTACTCTTTGCAGAAGCTTCTCAAATATTGCAAAAAACCCGATTTTTTTACACTTCGACCTCGATTTTCTCAAAATCTGTACGTGATCGAATCTTTATACTTACGGATTCGTAGTCAGCACAAAAAAAAACGGCTTTAACACTTGCCACACCAAAATCAGTGTTGCCCTGTGTAATTAAGGAAATAATGCAGATGGTAAGGCCCTCTACATTCCAGAGGACGCCTTCTGTTATTGATTTTTACTCCTTTTTTCTACTGGGTAGCTTCGCCTCTGAACTGTATATTAATACATATGCACATTAGGGTGCAACACTGTCCATACAAAAATTAATCGGTACTCTTTTTACATCGGTAATATAAAATTCATTATATTTTAAGACATCTGCCAAAATATTTCGGAAAAATATTATAATACCTCGAAAATCAAGTTTTTTTTTTATAAATTACAATACATTTTTAAGAATATTAAAAAAACACCTCAGCTGGTAGAAGATTTTTAGCTTGAAAGGTCTGCATAACAAAAAATTTAAAAGTTTATCAATGAGATTACAATGAGTAAGATCTTTGGAGGTATGTGTTTTGAAATCCGTCCAGCTCACGTAAATCATAACATTCTCCAAAAATATTTCAAAATATAATAAATTTACAATTGCTGTGGAAAAACCGCAACTTTTTTTGGTGATACACCCTAATGTGCATACCTAGATATGTCACAAAGCGGAACGCTATAATTTTATTATAATTCATTAAGAGTACATAATTACATACAACTTGCAGGGCTGCCAGTTTGGCTCAAACCGTGCCACTTTTGGCCCTATTTTTCTTCAAAGGGCACTTAGTTTTTCAATTTGGCACAAATAAATAGTAATATTTCAATAAATGTTTGTGAAATCCTTTGGTGTACTTCTTTTTCTCAACTAAAATTATCTAATTTCTATTATTTTAAATGAGCATTGGACTTTTGTTTTGGGAATTTATTTCGAATTTTAATGCTAAATGGGAAGAATTAAAAAGAATGGCACCTTTTTTGACCCTTTTTTCACGTTTTGACACTTTTTTTGTCATCAATATGACACTTTATAGCTAAGTATAGTTGGCAGCCCTGACTAAATGCATGCATGCATATCTACATAATTGGTAGACACGCTTGCAAATATGTATGTAAATACCTATTTACTTGTATAATAAATAGCATAAAAGGTGCTTGAACTTGTTCTACTTACATTGGTCGATGGTCGTTTGAGTAGATTGTAGCCTTCGACAAAGTCAATGTAGTCTTTGTAGAATACCAATGGGCCGGCCAATAGGCCTTGGAAGTGCAGAACGTACGAGAAATACTCGAGCGCCGATGGAAGCTTATAAACGGCGTGATATTGTTGTGCTTTTGTAAGGTCCTGCAATTACAAAAAGTGAAGAGGATGAAAATTATTAAAAAAAATAGACGAGTAAATAAGTAAATAACCATAACCCTTTCATGCCCGACTTAAATTGAGCAGAGCAAAAATTTTTTGAGGGTATATTATTGTTGGTTGACTCTTAAATATGAACTGGTATAAATTTAACCTTCTATAATTTCTGGTTTGACCGTTATGAAATGTTGTTCATGTGTAAATGTTCACACAGTTTTCTAACAAAAGCTAAGAAACATTTTAAGTTTTGCATGTTTGCATTTAATTTTCTTTAATAAATTTTATAACCTAAACTCTTTTATTAAAATATATACGTATTATGTATTATGTGAACTTTTTTCAAGATTTATAAACCAAAAAATCAATGTTGCCTATAGGCAGCGCGGGCATGAAAGAGTTAATGAAAAGAAATTATCCGTAATGAGTATGAAAACGCTTTCCAAGCTTTTCATACATCCTTCACACACATACGCTGAGCTGCTGATACTGTCTTGGTTTATTCATGTTTTATGTAGTACGTATGTACACTTGTGGTCAGCTGATTAAGTTAAGTGACATTTTATGTTTTTATATGTTAATATATTTTTTTTTCATAAAAGTCTAGCACATTACATAAATAGCACCACATAAATACACATTTCAAAAATTCGTAAAAAATTTATAAAAATTAAACAATCTTTAACAATTACATACACCCAAAAATTTTAAAATTTTTATTAAAAGTTTGTAGAAAAATTTTTGGTATGCAGTTTTATAGCCCATTAGATTTTATTAGCTTAAAGTGCAAATTTTGAACCGCTAGATAATCGCGTTGATTTTATGTATTAATTTTTTTATTTTTTGCTGACGACACTAGGCATTTTTCTTCATATAAGTAAATGTAATTATGGAGCATACTTTATATGAATTATTAAAACACAACGCGATTTTCTAGCGTCTTAAAATTTGCAGTTTAGCCTACTAAAATTTAAGGCATACAAAACTGCATACATCTTACATACATCTTGCATAAAATTGTTGGGTGTAATTGTTGAAGTTTGTTTAGTTTTTTTAAATTTTGTAAGAAGTTTGAATTATGGATTTATGATGAGCTGGTTATGTAATTTTCTAAACTTTTATAAAAAATATTATAAACAATAAACAGATAAAAGAAAAATAGCCAAAACTGGTCAAAATGTCACTGAACTTAATCAGCTGACCACAAGGGTATGTATGTACTAAGTGTTTGTAGTTCCGCACTCACCTTATGCTGACGCACAAAGCCATCGTGTATGCTAAACGCTAAACTTGTAACTTTTTGTGTAATTATCATTAGTGGACCGGTGATGTCCAGCGAATAGGAGCCATAGTCGTAGATTTGCCTAATCAGGTGGATGCACAAGAGGTAAGTCATCGCGACTAGCATAACATTACTGCAAGTAGAATGAAAATATAAAAAAATATTTTAGAAAATCTATGTGAGTATGAAAATTGCAACTCTGAAAACTGTTATGTTGACGTGCATAAATATGTATTTGTGTACTTGAACTGAAATAAACACTCATAGATGTACTTAGTAGTATATGGCTACTCATATGTATGTATGTATGTACGTACCGTTGCACCACGCGTGGACTCTGTGTACGTATGACAATGTAGCAAACGGCTGGAAGTCCTGCGATATGTACGGCTTGTGGGCCAAAGCAAAAGTAGCCAAAGGCCAGGCCAACAGTCAGTGCGAAAATATGACGCACATGGGCAGATACTCTGGAAGGATGTAGGATCGAGCGGAACAACGAGGCTAAAAAGAGTGCGCCAATTTGACATATCAAAAAATTTATCTGCAAAAAACAACAACAACAAAATACAATTAAATTGCTTCGTAAACAATTATAAACTAATAGCTATGTGCATATCGTATCATACGATTCGTATGTATATATGTGTGTAAGTATGTGTATCAATATTGGCCAAGAGGTCTCAAACGTCGTCAAATGCTTTTAAAACTTTTTTTTTTTTTAATTTATTGCATACAATTTGTTACTAATTGCAGCAATTAGATGGGGATTAATGTTTAGCACTTATTTGAAGGCGCGCGCATGTACATAAGGCGCCCATCGAAAATGTTTTTGTTTGTAAAATTCCAAGACAATATTGATATGTACTAGAGATGGGCGCGGGATAGCGGGACCCGCGGGACCCACGGTACTGATTTAAAATTGGCCGGGATGGGCGGTATCGGGAAGATCTGTAAAAATATGGCGGGCGGGACGGGACCAAAATCCTTTCCCGACACTCCCGATAAAACCGCAACCCCCGCAAATTCACAAAATCTTTCTTAAAAACGATGTTTGAAATACGCACTTTTAATGTTTTATTGAGACGAAAAAGAAAAAAAAAATTATAGGAAAATTAATATGAAAGACATGAACATTTTTGTGAACCTTCGATCGGTTTGTAACCTCGCCACACACGTTGAAATCTCAACCGCTCGTTTCAATTTGTTGTCCGTGTGTAGCCTGCTTTAGAGATAGATATCGGGACCCACGGGACCCGCGGTACAATTCTGAAAAATGTCGGGATGGGCGGGTTCGGGACTTAAAAATCGAATTTCAGGATGGGCGGGGTCGGGATGAAATATTTAGTCCCGTGCCCATCTCTAATATTTACCTACAATCGCTCGCTAGTAAAAAAAGTAGGGTTTCAAGAAATTTTAGGAAAATGGAGGTGGCACCGCCCACTTATATCATATATGTGTATCTCAAAAAATCCCAACAAGTCAAGTCCGACAATAGACTATTATATACCATTTTAAAGGCCTATATATCCTCTTTTCAGATCATATGGAAATCGAATCAAAAATAGTCATTCAAAACCTCATAAATCTACAAAATCGTACTTTGTGACCTAAATCGACAGTAAATAGCCTTTAAAAATCTATAAAAAAAGGCAATAATATTTCTCATAAAAACGAATAAAATTAGGGGCACGGTCTTGAAATTTGCAAAGAAAAAAACATTTTCTATGGGCACCCTAATGTACATATCGTTACCTGAAATGCATAAAGACGTAACAACATCGTAAACGAAATGAACTTTTTTCATTTCGTGATTTCAATTTTTTCATAAAATGATGTGGGGAGTTGTAATTCGAAGAAATCCATCATATAAATCAAAAAGTGAATTTTAAATTTTTTATCAGTGTTGACTTTTTGCGTTTCAACGATGATGTTTGTTACGCCCTTTTGTATTTCAGTGGGGCTATTCTCAAACGGGTTAGTGAAAATTTTCGGATCGCTATGGCAAGTGGCCGACGTGTGTTGTGAATGGTGCAAGGTTGAGATAGCGAAACGATATTTGTCGCTAACTTGTTTGAGAATAGCCCCACTGGTGACGATATGTATTTATGCCCATCACTTAAGTAGCGTAATAATTGCCTATGCAATGGGTAAAGTGCAGCTAAAGTCTATCCCAACAAACCTAGAATCTAACGTTAGAGAAATATTTTGACTTTACATTTATAGCATTCTAATGTAGATCTCGAATCGAAAATCAGGTTAGACAACTATTCTAGAATTAGAGATTAGAGAATGATTAGAGAACCACTAGACACTAAAAACAATTCAATGCTAGAATACGATTAGATATTAGCCTTTTTCCCGATATTGAGAACTAAGTCCACTTCTTTTAGAGAATGTTATAATTTTTGAAAATTTTTCTGAGTGTGGGCTCACACCGAAGACGACAAAATATTTTTTTTTTTTGTCAGCCGACAAGAAAACAGTTTTTTCTATCCCATTTGTATCGTGTTGCGACTCATTTGGTATGGGTTGAATAATAAGAAGTAATGTACTCTTGCTCTATACGAAACGAACAAACGTTTTGTCGCCTTCGGTGTGGGTTCACACCATTCGCCTTCAAATCTTCTACCGTAGAGAATTACATTCGAATGCGAATCTAACCTAAAGGCTTGTTGAGATGTGACTATTAATGAGTCATGCACGCTAAGTTTGTACTGATTTTTCGTTATCCTTTCACTATTTATTTATTGTTATATCTAGTTCTGGATACTGATTAAAGTTTGTTTTATGTGCTAATCGGAGCGTAAAGATCAGCGTTTGAGTTGTATTTATTAAAAAAAAAAATCACATAGACATTCGATCGAAAAGCAAAAGACAATTACAATGACGATTCGATGGAGAACAAATCATTAATAGGCAATTAGATATGATAAAAAAATAGTTGGGGTATTCATTCGGAATCAATTAAAAATGCGGTTATTACTAAAAAAAAAAGCATACATTGAGGGCTTATATTCAATACCCTCTATATGCACTTTTCACAAAAATGAGACTCTGATATAAAAATCGACCTTATACTTAACTGTCATCCGTCATATTAATGCTGACCTCATATAACGCTTGACAGAAGAATTTACTATTAAATTGCAAAGTCAGTAAAGTCCCAGATGGGTTCTACCATCACAAAGTAGTTTTTGTGAAAATTGCAGATAAGGGTATTGAATATTTATAAGCCCTTGAAATAACATCTCCTATGGGTTTATTAACTTCATTTAATATGCATCATTTGTTGCTGTTATTAAAAATATATACTTAACGTACTATGTACTTAGTTATTATCAGAATAAGTAGGTGCATGTATACATAGTACATGTCAGAGAATGTCTTAAGTACAGTTTTACTGTGCTGTTCATACCCATACCATAAAATCTAATTTTTCATTACAACTACGGTTGAACGAATAGATACATCGCATTGTAAGCGAGCGGACGATGTGTAGTTTTGAAGCTTCAAACAAAACAAAAGTTTGAGAACTAATTAACTCAAGTACATATGTTTTTTTGCACGTAATCTCAACAGCAGCTGTAGCCGAATGGATGCGTGTTCGACTGCCGTTTTGTCGGTCACGGGTTTAAAATCTGTGGCACGAACTTTATTATTGGGCGCGTTTATAAGACGTAGCTGTTGCCTCACCGTTGGAACTCAACGTGTTGTGCTTAAGGGCCATTTTCACTGGGCTGTCATTTTATATGACAGTGCGTGGTGATATATGACAACAAACGCAAATGACACCAGCTGACAACCCGTTTTCATTATTTTGACAACATTTGACGTCAAATATGACCTAATGAAAACCAGGCTTTAGCATAAACAGCTGATCGAAAAGATTTACGCCGCTTATATTAAATTTAACGCCGNACTCATTTGGTATGGGTTGAATAATAAGAAGTAATGTACTCTTGCTCTATACGAAACGAACAAACGTTTTGTCGCCTTCGGTGTGGGTTCACACCATTCGCCTTCAAATCTTCTACCGTAGAGAATTACATTCGAATGCGAATCTAACCTAAAGGCTTGTTGAGATGTGACTATTAATGAGTCATGCACGCTAAGTTTGTACTGATTTTTCGTTATCCTTTCACTATTTATTTATTGTTATATCTAGTTCTGGATACTGATTAAAGTTTGTTTTATGTGCTAATCGGAGCGTAAAGATCAGCGTTTGAGTTGTATTTATTAAAAAAAAAAATCACATAGACATTCGATCGAAAAGCAAAAGACAATTACAATGACGATTCGATGGAGAACAAATCATTAATAGGCAATTAGATATGATAAAAAAATAGTTGGGGTATTCATTCGGAATCAATTAAAAATGCGGTTATTACTAAAAAAAAAANGATATTACTGATGTGATTAAGTAACTAAAATATTTTATAATAATACTACGTTTCTAGATATATTTTTTAAGATGTTTGCTATATAATTATGTTGAATTCTAAGTCCTATCGGCGCAATTTATTTACGATTAGTTTTATATGTATGTATGTATGTATGTAGCTAATTGTAGTAAAAAATAGCTGAACATTTTGACTATTTTTCCATGGTTTGTTTAATGCTATACATTTTTTATAAAAGTACAGCTCATTACGTTAAAAAAAAAATCATATAAATCCAAACTTTAAACTTTGCACAAAAATGTGAAAAATTCAACAATTTTTCAAGGTTTTTATTCTGAATCTTTAAGTATGCAGTTTAATGGCCCATTAAATTCTAGCATAGTAAAGTGCAAGCTTAAAACTGCTAAAAATGCGTAGATTTTTGATATTTTTTTTTTCTGATTGTCATGCGTTGTTTCCATATAAATTATGATCGGTCAAACTTGAGTACTCAAGTAACTCAGCCACTGCAGTACCCAAACGCCGATAAGTCTGTAAGTGGCAAGATAAAATATTGTGCAAAAATAGCCACTTTTGCTTGTTCATTTTTATAATTTGAGTTCAGAGTCTCCGACTTTTAATGATAAAATTTATAAAATATCAGCTGTTAATTGCTTAGAAGGTTCGCCCCTGACGGAGAAACTACAAAGTTGAGAGCTAGCTAGAGTTGGTTCCTTGTATGCGAATTTCGGAATTTAAAACGAAAGTTTCGAATTTTTAAATACATAAACACATACACTGCCGAAAAAAAAATTATTGTTACAGATAATTTTTCATAATGTATGCAAAATCAAAAATTATTATTTAAATTTCTTTCGCTAATTTTTTATAAAAAAATTGGTTAATTCATCTGATTAGAGTGCAGCAAATTTATCGAATTTTTTTTATTTTGTACTAAGTTTGAAAATAAAATTTTAATGTTTTTTTGTAGTCAATGTTGCCAGATTAACAGTTTTAACTGTAAATTCAGTGTTGCAGACAAGCTTACAGTTTTTTCGAAATTTTCGATTTGGACGTTCGAATGCACTCC